CACTGCGCCCTCTTCAGGACCATTGTGTTATTGCACCAGGATTTCCATCAGGCCAAGCCAGCCCTCCACTCTGTCCAGGGGCAGGCCGGCAGCTGTCCACGAAGCCTGTGTCCCTTGGCCACCAGTGTGGGCACCAGGCTCAGTGCAGCAGTCCCATGCTCCCTTCCCCAAGATCCCAGCCACTGCCCCCTCTGGAGCATGCTGCCTGCCTTTGATTCAGGGCAACCACTGGGCCCTACCCCAAGGACACAGCTTGCCCTTGACCCACACAGGCAGCAAAGCCCAGAGCCTAGGCCTGGCTGGCTGGCAGGAGGATGGGGAAGTGAGGGCTACCCAGTCTCTGCTGGACTCCTTGGAAGGCCTGTGGGGGGGGGGGCCTGGGTTCTCCTTCGGTAGCTCTAGGACTGAGTGGTCAGGGGCCTGGTGGGTCCATAGCGACTCTCTGAGGAAGAGACTGAAGCAGCGCTGGGCTCCTCTGACCCAGGACATGGCAGCCTCCATTGGGAGACTCGACAGAGGAGGGGACAGTGGCCTGCAGAGCAGAAGAGCCTGCCCAAGGTTGCTGGGCAGTAGTGGCAGGTGGGGTCCAGGCTGCCTGCTGAGAGCCTGTGGCCAGTCCTCTATCTCATCTCACCATAGTGGCCTTGGGAAACAGCTCCTGAACATGGGGTGAGCCCCAGGCTGGGCCTGCCAGGCTGTGAGTTCAGGCCAGCGCCACCCAAGGCTCTTGCTGGCCATAGTGTGGAGAGGGCCCTGGAGTGCGGACACTAGCCAATGAAGGACCTGTCGGGTGGTATGGATGTGCAGAACTGCTGCAGACCGGGGCCCTCCCCCTCCCTGTCACAGCCTGCAGAAGGGACCTTGGGTGGTGGGAATTGAGGCCTCCAGAGCCAGGCAGGGTGGGTGCGGGCCATGGTGCGGGGCTCTCCCGCCAGGCAACAAGAGGCCGGCCCGGGTGAGCACTGAGCTTGGCCCCCCTGAGCCGGGGCAGGCAGTCCCTCCCCTGTGAGGAAGCCAGGGGTGAGGTGGCATGTTCTGAGGCCCCCATCCTCCTGCTCAGTTGGCCCGGAGAGCAGCCAGTGCAGCTGACTGCCCGGGGATGCCAGCTGGGCCAGGGGTCAGGTGGCCCAAGGCCTGGAAAGGCTCTGCCCAGGGCCTGGAGACTGTCACCACCACCCAGCTCACACAGTGGGGCCACACAAGCTGCATGCCATGTGATCATCACAGTGCCCCAAGGCCATATCACTGTCCCTGTGCACAGATGGAGTCAGAGGTCCAGAGGAACCAGCCCGAGGTTCCCCGGGGGCACATGGCAGCTCTGGGATGACCCTGGGCTCTTCACCTCTGCACTGAGCATGAGCAGGTCACACAGGCTGGGAGCCCTGGGGTGTCCCCTCACCCTTCCTGGGGAGGGGGTTGCTGGGTGAGCCTCCCATCAAGGGCAGTAGGTGGCAGGAGCACAAAACCGTCTGCTCTGACACTTCTGCCAGCGAGCTCCCCCTTGCTACCCAAGGATGGCATAGGTGGGTGTGGCCAAAGGGATGCTGCTCTTCTGTAGAAAAGGCCCTTGTCCTACAGCCCCACCGCCCAGGGCTCTGGCTCTTGGTCTTCTCTGGGTCCTCCCCCTCCTGTCTAATGGGGGCTGTCCACCCCTCCGCTGTTCTCGGCCCACCGTGGGCTTGTCCACTGGCAGGCATGGCTGGCCCCTAGCAGCATGGCCTCCAGGCCTCTACGGGAGCTTGATCCTGGCACTGCTGCTGCCGTGGCCCAGGAAACTGGCCTGTGTGCCTCGCCTCATCTATTTTTAAGCACAGGCGCATGAAAGATTCACAGGCTGCTTTATTTACAGGTGGCAGGCATAGTGTCCGTCCCCTGAGGTTCGTCCACCGAGAGGCCTGAGGGGCGCAGGTCCCAGAGCCCACCTGAGTCTGGGCACTGCCTCCCTCCCTCCCGCTCCAGGCTGGCTTTGCTCTCCTCCACAGGAGCCCAGCCTCCTGGAGCTGCCCACCCTCTGGCCCTGGCCCTGGGAGGGACTGAGGTGCCCTCCCCTCCCAGGAGTGCATCCTGAGAGCACCTCTTGGGCAGGTCTGGAGGAGGGGCAGGGTCACAAGGTCCTGCCTCAGAGAGCCCAGGGCAGCTGCTTCCTCTGAAGCACATGGGTGAGGCGAGTGTCCCCGTTTCACAGACACAATCAGGCGTCACTCAGGCGTGGGGTAGCCCAGAGCCTAAAGCCAGGTGGACCAGACTTCAAAGCCCACACCCACACCTTTCCCTCCTGGCTATGGCTGCAGCTGGGTCAACAGCCACCTTACCTCTGCTTCCCAGGAGGGGAGAGCCGCACATCCTTCCAGACCCCGGCCCAACTCAGGAGAAGACAGAGGCCCAGCACCACCTGGTCCTGGTGGAGCAGGCCACAGTAAGGCCCAGGGGCAGGGGTGGGTGCCAGCACACCCTATGCCTGGCTTTCCTCCCCTCTTGACCTCCCCTACTGGGTGTGGGTCCTGTGGGCCTCAGGATGTCCCAGCTCAGCCTTGCTGGGTCACCTGTGTCACCTGCTGTCTGGCCAGGTCTCAGCAAGTGCTTAGGAGGGCTCTTGGCTACCTTTGCACTTGGGAGAGCCACCTGGCACAGGTCCACAGAAACCCACCCACCTAGCTGGCCCTAGGCAGTGAAGGCTTAGGACACCACAGTCCCAGCCAGCCACCAGCACTGTCCTTCCCCACCACACTTGGATGAACAGGGTAGAGACAACAGGTCCCCTCTGCAGTTGAAATGCATTAATTTTAGAGAGATTTTCTTTTCTTGGTTTGCACTGGCCCCAGGGCGTCTCTGGGGCTTCACTTCTGCGGTGCAGCACCACTCATTAAATACTGCCTCCTGGGGCTGGAGATGTGGCTCAGCGGTAGCGCGCTCGCCTGGCATGCGTGCGGCCCGGGTTCGATCCTCAGCACCACATACCAACAAAGATGTTGTGTCCGCCGAGAACTAAGAAATTAATATTAAAAATTCTCTCTCTCTCTCTCTCTCTCTCTCTGTCTCTCTCTCTCCCCCCCCCCCCTCTCACTCTCTCTTAAAAAAAAAAAAAAAAAAATACTGCCTCCTTGGCCAGACCAGCCTTTCCCAGCCCAGGCCCCCTCCTGGGCCCTGTCCGCTTCCAACTTCCACGGGAGGAAAAGTTTTCTTTCAACCTTGCCTAAGGGGAGGAAGGAGCAGGGGAGGAGGTAAAGTTGGTGACAGGCAAAACTCAGCGTTTCTGGGAACCCAACTGGGTGGTCCAGAGCCCTCATCTTCATGCTGCCCCTACCACTTCTGGGAGCAAGAGGGTAGGGTAGCCCCTAGCAGTGGGAGCCCCTCTGGGATGCAGTGGCAGGGGGTACAGTGACTGACAGCCTCCTCATCACTCCCTGCTGGCAACTCACCTCTGGGAGCCTCAAGTCCCCATCTATAAAATGGAGATGCACTTGGTATTCTGGGGAGCACTTAATTGATCACCTATGTTTGGGGCATTGTTGCATGTACCGAGGTGGAGGGAAGGCAAAACAGATGTGCTCCGTTATGGGAAGCGCTGGGAAGAACGAGGGCCACTTTAGAGAGTGGTGGTGACTCAGGAGGCTAAGGAGTCAGACCAGCCTGGGCAGCATAGAGAAGGGTGGCGGCTTGGGAGCTAAGGGGCAAACAGGAAAAAGCCCTGGAGGGTGCTGCAGGGGCTGGAGACTGGGCTGCGCAGTAGAGGTGAAGGGCATTAGGGTCCCCAGCCCTCTGTCCACTACCAACAGCATCCACAGCATTCTCTCCTGGGTTCCTATTGATTTCCCAGGAAGCGGAACCTGCCACGGTTGGTCAGCAGCCATGCTCAGCCCCCAGGCACACAAGCACCTGGGGCTGGGCTCTCAGGCCTGGGGGGGCGGCAGACCCTTTCCAAGACTGGACAGAGAGAAAAGCCAGTTTGCTCAAGCAGACACAAAATGACCACTAAGGGTTCTGCCACAAGAGAGCTAGAGAATGTGCTGGTAGGTGTCTTCATAAAATGCCTACAGATGTGATACAAATGGCTAGACTTTCTTCTTTACAGAAAAACAGAAAACAGCGTTGATGGGCAGGGAAGCCCCGCCCACTCATGTGAAGGGCACATGGCTGAGGGCTGAGCACAGTTCTGAGGGGGAGGCTGCAACCCTGAGACCTCCAGCTGGTATGACAGAGGGCAGCAGCTTCGGAAACTGCAGAAAACCCAGGGGTCCTGCCTCTGCCTGTCTAGAAAGTCGCTGTTTTGCTATCTCCAGCTGCTCCCTGGGCAAGTGACTGCTGGGGTGCTTGGAAGGTGGAACCAGGAATACCTATAGCAGTATCCCCTCCTCCCAGGGTGACAAATGCTCTTGCCCAATTGAGTACCAACTGCATTGCCCAGCAGCCAGGCTGGTCATCCGCGGAGCGGAGCCCACGTGAATGCAATCGCCTGATAGCCAACGCTGGCTCTGCACCAGGAGCGGTGACACACTGGGGCTGGCACCCACTACGGGAACCCCTCCAGCCCCGCCCAGAATCATGCCCCAGTTTGTCACCTCCCCCAAGCTCCAACAAGCAGCGTGGCCTTCCACAGCGCCCGGCTCAGTCTCCCTGCCCAAGGGGACCCAAAAGGGTCAGGCATCCTGCCAGGTGGCCAGCCAGGTGACCATTAGTCACTCAGTAGCAGTTCAAGGGCTCCTTTGTGTAGTGACGGACTGGCACGGTGGTCACGTCCTTGGGCCGCCTGTAAGCCCTAGGGGAGCTGTGTTTCTGGGCCCAAGGGCGATCCAGGGGTGGGGCACGCGGGCGGGCAGAGGCAGAGCCCGGGGAGCCGGGTACCCGACTGGGGTCCCAAGTGGGGTGGAGCCTGGTCCGAGCCCTTGTGACCCGAGGCAATAAGGGGCGGGCGCCCCAGGCGGGGCGGCGGGCGGGCCAGTGCCCAGGGCGTGGGGCGGGGCAGGCGGCCGCACCTAGCCGGCCGCGCCGCGCGCCTCCCTCCACCGGCCGCCCCGCCCTCCGCCCTCGCAATAAGGGGCGCGGGCGCGGGGAGCGCGGGCGGCCGTCGGGGCTGGGCGCGGGCCGTGTGCGCTGCGGGCCATGGACCTGTGGCCGTGGCTGACGGCGGCGCTGCTGCTGCTGCTGCTGCTCGTGCAGCTGAGCCGCGCGGCCAGGTTCTACGCCAAGATCAGCCTCTACTGCGTGCTCTGCCTGTCTGTCTCCGCCGTGGCCTCGGCCGTCTGCCTGCTGCGCCACGGCGGCCGCACCGTGGAGAACATGAGGCAAGCGCCGGGCGCGGGCGGGTGGGGGAGCCCGCCGCCGCCGCCGCTTCCGCTTCGCTAACTTTCCGCTCCCCTCCCCTCTTCCTGCCCCGCCCGCCCGGCGGGGAGCGCGGCCCGGGCCGGCGCCCGGGACCCGGGAGCGGGCGTCACAATGTCCCCGCGCCCTTGCGCCGGCATTTCCTCAGCTCTGGCGTCCCTGCGCCCGCCGTAGCGCGCCGGCTGGCGGTGGGGACGCCTTTTTGGGAGGAAGGGGTTGGGCCGCGCTGGGAGAGGCCCATCCCGCTTCACTGGCGGTGAAACTTTCCCCAGAGCCACTGGATGGGGCGCGCACGCGGCAGAGAGTGACCCTTGACCTCTCCCTGGGTCCTCTGCTGACGCGCAGGTGATGGACGTGTTTCTGCTTCCTCCTCTTGGGCAGGTGGGGAGACCTGAGAGGTGCTACTTCCGTGTGGAGGGAGGGAGGTGTTGGCCCCTGGGCCCCCCCCCCCCCCCAAGCACTCGCAGGGACGGGAAGGAATGTGGCAGTTGCAGAGAGTTTCCTCTGGACACCTCCCAGAGCAGGGAAGCTTGGCCCTGGGGTTGAACAAGGGAAGAGAACAGTCTGGTTGACAAGAACCGTTGGGGGCTGCCTGGGAGGAGCCCTTCCTGCCCCTCTGTCTGTTCCCCATCCCCAGGGACTGTTGCTACATTTCTCTCTGCCCTGTTTGGACTGTCCAGCTGGTGGCTTTTGCAATGGCCTCTTGGCTTTGGCCTAGGATGGGGGACATTGTGGTCCCTGAAGCCCCACCTCCTCCTGTGTTAACAGGCACAGTGGGTGAGAGGGTGTCCTGACTTTCCATCATCTCTGACCTTTGTGGGTCTTGGCAATGGGGGTGACACTGCTCAGTCTGGTCCATATTTCATGTATCTCAGGCTCTTCTTCAGGGACTTGTGCTTTGCCTGAGAAGCCCAGATACAAAGGGTGATAGAGAGTGGATTTGAGGAGCAGAGCAGGGGTCAGGTGAGTGTTTTGTGTCGACCCATCTCCCCTCTGACCAGTGTCCAGGGGAGCAGACCCCAGGGGCAGCCCAGGCATTTCCCTTCTAATAGGTAGTTCTTAGGTCCCGTGCCCTCAGGACAGATACCCTAGGCCATGCACAATCACTGAAGGCCTGATGTGCAAGGCCCAGCTTCCCTGCAGGCTGGAAACTGCCTGGGGAGATAAAAGAGGTTCCCTTGGGGGAGCCTCCCTAAGTCCCTGGGCACTTCAGAGCAAAGTGGAGGGTGTGGACTTCAGGAAGGACCCACTGGGTCTGGAAAGTACTCGTCAGATATGCTCCTTGGGGGGTGATATCCTTCCTAGGCCAGGCCAGCAGAGGGTTCTGAGGCTGTAGGTGTCCTGGGCCCAGGGCTGGGCTCTATGTTTTCAGCAAATATGAAGTGGGAGTCCTTGGAACTTTTGTAGCTCCTTGGTGTCCTCTCCACCAGCATGTCCTAGTCTGGAGAGGCCTGGCGGGCTCTTCCAGGTCTGTTGCTGCCCAGGGGCCAAATCCAGTCACCAGCTACCCTCTCTGAGGGTGGATGAACCCAGCAGGCTGGCCAAACCAGCACTGTCCCACCTTCTACCCTGCCTGCGCAGCCAGGGGCCAGAGAGTCTGGCCAGCTAGAACCCTCAGGTCCCTAGAGGCTCTCCTGGTTGGCACCCAGGTAAAGGGCCCACTGCCTCTGGGACACTGCTGGGTAACACAGGTGTTTGTTTCTGCCCACACATGGGTTCCCTAGGGAAGGGAGGACTGGAGGGTGGGGCAGGGCTGGAGGCCCAGGAGCCCACAGCCCTGCCTTCTGCACCAGACTCCCAGAATCCCTGTGACGACTCCCAGCAGTGAGGAAGAGTGGGTGCTGTGAACGGGAAGGCCTCCAGGGGCAGGCACAGGGCGGGTTGAAAAGAAGGGAATGAGGGGTGCAGTCCCTGGGTGGCTGGTCAGGGAAGGGAGCCAGGAGCATGGGAGGTGGAGACTCAGGGGAAAGGGCCCTCCTGTGTGCTGCAGTGCCTTGCAGCTTTGAAGTAGGGACTATCATGATGAAGAGACTGAGGTTCAGAGGCTTGGCAGTGAGATGGGAGGAGGAAAGGTGAGTGTCCAGGGTCTCAAAGCCAGGGTGAGACATCGCTGGGGCTTGAACCCACAGGCAGTGGCTCCAAAGTGCTCTTGGCTTTCCCTCTGTGTCCACCCCAGCGCTAGGAGCTGGAGGCTGATGCCTGGGAAGTCCTGAACTGGAGAGGGAGAGCAGGGCTGCCCCTCTACTCCCTTTCCACTTCTCCTGGGCAGTGGCCCAGGCATGGACCCTTCCTCCGGGTTCCAGCCCACAGAGTCCTTCCCTGTGTGCTCCTAGGGTGCTAGAGCACGGTGGTTGGGAGATGCCTCAGTTACACCCACACACGCAGGAAGTGAAGCCCAAAGAAGCTCTGTGTTGGCTGAACCTTTCCTCAGGAGGCCCTGAGGATGGGGGACATTGTGGTCCCTGAAGCCCCACCTCAGGAGGCCCTGGGGACAGGTTCAGCCAACAGGGAAGATTACTTTCTTGGCCCCAAATTCCTTTGGGGGCCCTACCCTTGGCCCCACCATCCTTAGGGTCCCAGATGCCACCGTGGTGGTGGGAGAGGAAGGCGCCAGCAGAACTTCTTCTTGCACCAAGTGGCCAGGACATGGCTGCACAGCAACTTGTCCCCTGTACCTATGCACCTAGGGAGTGGAGAAGGGCGTTGCTGGGCCCTGGGTCCTGGGACAGATGCATGGACAGGACACAATGCCTCGCTGGGCCCTGGTCCCAAAGAAGGAGGGTTTCAGGGAAGCCTGGCTCCCTGGTCCCACCTCCCCCAGCCCTTTCTCCTCAGGCCCCACCCACCCCCATTGCTCAGACCTGAAGCCCTTCCCCCTGGTGCTCCCTTTCTGGGACACTGGTTGGAAAGCTCCCTGGTCTGTCAGGGGCCTTGCTCAGGCCTCCTGTACCCTGGCCATCAGTGGTCCTGCCTGCTCTTTGCCAGCAGGGCTGCTCTGAGTGAGCCCTCCCAGGTCCTCTTAGCCTTCTGGCCAGTCTTGCCCAAAGAGTGTGCCTGGGTCTCCAGGGAGCAGCCCAACCCAAGCCCAGCAGCTGAGGGCAAGGGTCAGTTGGTGGCCGTCCACGAGGACAGCCAGGCTGGTGGCCTGGTCTCTGGCCTTGAACTGCCTCCTGCTGCTGGAGCAGGTGCTGGCGGGAGGGCCTGGGCAGGTCGTGGCACCCTTTGCTCTGAGTTACTGTGGGTTCTTTCTTGCTGAGTCCTGTCCCAGCCGCCATTGGTCCTCAGTCCAGGGTCACCAGCCACCCAGCCTCCTGGAGTGGCACTCCTCTGCATCCTTCCCCTTTCCCAGGTGGTAGCAGAAACCCAGGTGGTCAAGGGCATTGCCCCAGGCCCCAAGTCCCACCTGGCAGCTGGCAGCAGTAATTCTGGAGCACTGGGCTGGGCACTGGGCACAACCCTTGGACTTCAGGTGACCCCAGCCCAGGATGGTACAGTTTACCTTCTGTTTTACTGCAATTAAGAAAGTGGGGGCTGGGGTAGAGCTCAGAAGTAGGGCGGGTGCCTAGCATGCATGAGAGCCTGGGTTCCATCCCCATACTGGAAAGAGAGAGCAAGAGAAAAGAAGAGGGGCATGGAAATCGGGGAATACCCCACTGCCGGAGGACCACAGTCCCTTTCCCGATGTGGCCCGAGACTCCCTCATGCGGCCACAAGTGGAAGTGCCGATATTTGTAGTAAGGTTGAAGATTCTTTATCCAAAGTGCTTGGGACTAGAAGTTTTTCAGGTTTCGGATGGCTTTGAACTTGGGAAAGTTTACACATACATAATGACATATCGTGGGTACCCAAGTCTAGACACAGGTCATTTGTGTTCCGTGGGCATCTTATACACCTGGACGTAATTCTGTGGGTATGGCCAGTGTTGCCAGTGCACCTCTCTTTTGACTATTGCCTCTTGCATGAGGTCAGGTGTGGCATTTTGTACTTGTGTGATCATGTCCAAAATCTTCAGGAGTTTGGAGCATTTGGAATTTAGGGTCAGGAATGCTCAATCCGTGTGAACCCTGTGAGTTCTGGGCTGGGATGTGGCTCAGTGCAGAGCCCTTGCCTAGCACCAAGTCCCTGGGTTCCACTCCCAGCACCAAGAACAAAAGTCATATGAATGCCCTCTGCAGTAAAGGGATCTCAGTGGCCGTTTCCTCTGCTTTGGTAGCTGAGAGATAGACCTAGAGCCCTTCTGCCTGGCCTTCCAGGTGCCCTGTGGGCATTTTTGTTTCCCCAGTTCAGCATTCAGCCCTCTGCTGCCATGGGGAGAACTCCTGGCAGAGCCACTCAGGGCCAAGGAGACCAGGCGCTCAGGGCTTCTGGTGCTGCCCTCCCCACAGATGCTCCGGTCAGCGCCTCTTTCCCCAGCTCTGGCCACACCTCCTGCTTTCAGTTTCAGTCCCGCCCTGTCTGTGACAATGAGGAACAGGCACAGGTTTCTTGGACCTGGGGACAGTGCTGGCTGAGTTACCCCAATTAAACCCTGAGCCTCCGTGAGTGGCAGCTTCCTTACCAGGAGAGCTGCCCCTCCCTGGAGTCAGCCTTGTGGCAAGACAGCTGGTCAGGAGCCTGGACTTTGGTCACAGAAGGACCTGTGCTGTGGGAGTCCACTTCTGCCAGGTCTCAGATTCAGCTGTGGAGACAGGGCAAAGGCAGTTTCCAGGGCTTGGGCAGCGGGGCAGTCTGTGCAGGAAGGTGGGTGTTCTGTGGATGGACGTGGCGAGGGCAGCAGAGCAGGGTGAGCCTGCCTGATGTGCAGAGGTGGGCCCCTGAGGAGGGTCAGGGCCCTGTATGTGACGGTGTCTTTTGCCATGGTTGGAGTGGGGCCCTGGCCGACGCCTCTGCTCTGCTGTGAGCCTGCGCTCGGAGCCTGGGGAGCTACTTCACTGACCTGTGGATGGGGTCCCTCTTCCCCTTGGGACTGGGGGATCACATGACAGGGCTGCACTCATCTGCGTGGACAGCAGAGGGTGTGGGGCCGTAGCCCCCAGGTCATTGGGTGGCACATCCCCTGACACCTGCTGTCCACAGGGCTGGGAAGGATCAGGCTCTCTGCTGGGGGCTGTGGGGTGAGCCTGCGCCTTTGGGCTCTGTCTCCTCATGGGCTAACCTCCTGACTGGCAATGTCCTGTCCTGTCCTGTTCCAGATGTGTGCAAAGCCAGGCCAAGGCCACCCCTAACCCCACATCCCTCTGGCCTGGTCAGCACTGAGGACACATTCTCTGGGTGACAGGACTGGATACAGGAGACTTGAGATGTCCCCTGGGAGGCCAGGCCTCTGCAGGATGCTGGGACCCCTCTCGCCCCATCTTGTCCATCATTAGCCTCACCCACTCCTGGGTGGTCCCCACCTGCCTGCCAGGCATGCTCCCTTGGGAGGGCTGAGCAAGCATGGTGCAGGGGAGGCCAGCAGCCCTGCCAGCCCCAGGATCCAGTGCCTGACTTTTGAACCCTTTGTCTTGCCATCTGCTGCTGTGGCAGAGGCAGGCTGGGCCCTGGACAGCATCTTCTCCCTACCTGGCCCCCACTCCTTCCCTAGGCCTTAGGCCACGCCCCTGGCCACTGACCTCTGCTCATTGCTGCCTCTGTCCACAGAATCATCAGCTGGTTTGTACGGTCCTTTAAGTATGCCTACGGCCTTCGTTTTGACATCAAGGGCCGGGAGAACCTGGAGGTGGACCGGCCCTGTGTCATCATCTCCAACCACCAGAGCATCCTGGACATGATGGGTAGGCCACCAAAGGCATGTGTGCTCTGCTCCTGGGGTGGGGGTGGGCAGGTGAGCCAGGTGCTGGGCAGACACGGGAAGGGGTCCTGGATGTCCCTCCAGCCACTGGCTTCCCTTAGGCTGGACAGTAAAAGCAACCGGCTGCTTGTGTCTGACACTGGGCACAGGGCTATACCGCAACCCAGGCTGGGAGCTTGTTCGGGTACCTCCCCAAAAGATGGTCAGGCCAAAGACCAGATGGAGTGCCAGGTGGGCAGTGGGAAGCAGGGGGTCACCTCTTTCTTCTCTGGCTGAGGGGTCCAATTGGGATGATACTGCCCTGTCTCTGTCTCTCCCCCATGTCTCTGCCTCTGTCACTCTGTGTCTTCTGTCTCTGTGTCTCTGTCTCTCCCTGTCTCTCCATCTCCTGTCTTCTGCCTCTGTCTCTCTTCTCCCCGTCTCTTCCGCCTGTCTCTGCCCCTCTCTCTCATGGTTCTGGTCTCCCTCTGCCCCTCCTTGGTTGTCCCCTGCTGCCGGCAGGCCTCATGGAGATCCTCCCCAAGCGCTGTGTGCAGATCGCCAAGCGGGAGCTCCTGTTCCTGGGGCCAGTGGGCCTGATCATGTACCTCGGGGGCGTCTTCTTCATCAACCGGCAGCGCTCCAGCACTGCCTTGACCGTGATGGCGGACCTGGGCGAGCGCATGGTCGAGGAGAATGTGAGTGTGGGCCGCAGTGTGGCTGTTGGCAGAGAGTCTGTGGGTTGCACGGGGCGCTCAGGACCCACTCTATGCTGCGTGGTCCTGGGAGGGGCAGCATGGCCTCCCTGGGGTGGCCCAGGTGGCAGTGGACAGCCCGGGACACAGTCGGCTCCTCTCTCCCCACAGCTCAAAGTGTGGATCTACCCCGAGGGCACACGCAATGACAACGGGGACCTGCTGCCCTTCAAGAAAGGTGCCTTTCACTTGGCAGTGCAGGCCCAGGTAGGTGGGAGCCCAGGTCAGGGTGGCTCAAGGCTGAAGGTGACTGCTGGGGCTCAGGGATCCCTTGCAGTGGGCAGGGACAGGGCCTCATCACCACATGCTGAGGTGGGCGCCCTTGGGCCCTCTACCACTGGGCAGTTAAGGTCAGTCCTCCCTCCAGCCCAGGCAACTGGCTGCCCCCTGGCAGCACCTGAGAGCCAGTGGCCTGCCTCAGTAGGGGGCTTTGAGAAGCAGGGACCAAGGCGAGGAGCCAGGCCTGCTTGCTGAGCCCTGTCTGTGCTGGCTTGTGCTGAGCACTCCTCCAGGGAGTGGGCTGGCCGGGACGGCAGGCTACAGAGCACACGAGCATGGGTCGTGGCCTCAGGGTCCTCAGCCTTCAGGGGCAGTAATGTGGCCCAGAGGTGTTGTGGGAGCCCAGGGGGTATCTACCATGGAGAGTGGTCTCCTGGAGGGTGAAGGGGGTCCACTAGCTCCTGCTCTATGCTGGGGAGACTCATGTTGGGGGGAAGCCACTGTCCAGGGTCAAGGAAAGGGTCTTCCGAACGCTGGACTGGTCACAGCTCAGTAGACGTATTCTCTTCTCTGCCCCTATGGTGGGTGGCCTCCAGTGCCCTGGTGCCTAGTCCTGAGGCTCCTCCCAGGACCCACATGCCTGCAGCCACCCTGCTCTCTGGCCCAAGCCTCTAGCCAAGGGGTAGAAGACACTCCTGCCTGGGCCTGGGGCTGGAGTCATTTCTACCTTGCCAGTGGTGTGGCTGTGGGGTCAGGGCTAGACTGGCAAGGCCTGGGAGAAGAGAGATTTCCCAGTCACCTGTCTCCCCAGGGCCTGCTCCTCTGCAGTCTGCCTGCCCATGTCCCGAGGTCCCATGACAGTTTGGGTTAATGATCATCCCCAGGTGCCACCTGTCACTGGTGGCTCTGACCCTGGGGCCTTCGAGGGATGTCAGGAGGCACCAGCCCCTCCCCTGGGTAGTGCTGCACTGGCCTCCTGAGTTGGGGGACAGGCGGGACATGCCCGCTCAGCCTGGCATGTCCCTGTGGCAGGTGCCCATTGTTCCTGTGGTGTACTCCTCCTTCTCCTCCTTCTACAACCTCAAGACCAAGCTCTTCACCTCAGGTGAGCCCCTGCCAGCCTCATACCTAGGGCCCTGTTCCTGGTGGCTGCTTGGTGGAGTGACCCCACCCTGGGCCTGTGGCCCTGCGAGGGGGCTGTAGAGGGTCTGTTTTCAGATGAGGAAACTAAGGCTCCAGAGGGTGGAAGGGCCCAAGCGTGCTTGCAGGTGGGACCTGTGGAGGTGGACACTGACCGTCCAGTCCTGGCGCTGCATGGGCAGCCCAGGGAACCACCACTAGCCACAGAGCTGGCCTGTCCAGCAGTGCTGGCTTCAGGCGGGGGCCCTGATGCCACTCTTGCTTATCTGGGGGGGGGTCAGAGGTTGAAGGCAGTAGGGGAGGAGCCAAACACCATCTCCCCACAGCCCAAACTGCTGAGGACAGATGTCGGGGTGCAATAGGGGCTGGCCAGGAGGGGCAGAGGGGGCTTTCTGGGGTGGGAGTGTCCTGTGTGGCCATTGGTAGTCACTGGGTGGGGGAGACCATGGCAAGCACCGGGTGCACACTTGGGAGCAGCTTTATTGGTCAGCATCGCCTCAGGACAAGCCCACAATGGCCAGGAGCTGGGTGGGCCCAGCCCTCCAGGTCCAGGTCTCAAGGCTCAGGCTCAGGACAGGGTGGCCAGTGGGGGCAAGGCTGGGGCAGCAGCAGGGTGGCCCCCAGCTGCTGATACCACTGTCCACCCCAGGGACAATCAAGGTCCAGGTGCTGGATGCCATCCCCACCAGTGGCCTCACCGTGGCCAACGTTCCCAAGCTCATGGACACTTGCTACCACGCCATGAGGAGCACCTTCTTCCACTTGTCCAGGACTCCCCAGGAGAACGGGACCATTGAGGGACCTGCTGTCCAGCCAGCCCAGTAGCCCTGGCCATGGGGTGGGGGACCTGGGGCAGGGCAGGCGGGAGGCAGAAGACTAGGAATGGACAGAGGGACACCCCCTCCCAGGCTGCCAAATATCACCGTGTCTGGCTCCCTGGCTCCCGGCTCTCACTTGGACCCTGGAAGCAGGAAGCCCTTTGTCACTGGCCTCAGATGAAGGCCCCTGATGTCTCTTCCAGGAGTGAGCTGGAAGGAGCCTCATGCCTGTGCCCCCAGGATCTGGTATGTGGCCTCAGGCAGGCTTAGCCCCAAGCCTTCCGAGGAAACTGAGAGCCCCTGGGATGTCCAGACTGAGGCCACCCCTGCCCTGGCCCAGGTCCTGGTATATCTGCAGGGCCCACAGGGTGCAGAGTCAGGCTCAGGGGTCCAGGCCATGGCCTGCATCAGGCCTTCAGTGAGAGAAGAGGCTTGGGGGCTGGGACTGCCTCGTTTCACCCAGCCTGGGCCACAGGGAGCTGGAGGGCAGGGTCTGCAGCTCCCACCGGCTTCAAGGATGTCTGTGGGTCAGTGTTATATTCAGTTCTTTTTTATAAATGAACTCTTGGAAGTAATTGTTGAGCTGTGATCATTTAGAGGATGTGCAGGGGCTTCCCAGGTCTCTGTCCAGGGGCAATCTTCCAGGCTGCCTGTGCTGCCCGCTGCCCAAACTGGTGGGCTAGCTGCCCTCCCAGGGTCCAGTGAGAAGGCCTCCAGCCCCAGCAGGGTGGGCTACCGTCACCCACAGTGCCTTCCTCATGGCTGTGGGGGTCGAGGGGGCAGGTGACTGACTGCCTGGAGACGGGGGACAGAGGCCAGCTGTGCAGTGGGGAAGCACCAGCTGAGCTTACGTGGCGATCACGACCTCAGGAAGCTCACGGCCACCTGCCTCAGCCCTGACAGCACCGGGAGCCTGGTGTGGTGGGCCTGGAGTGCCTTCCCTGAACCCCACCATGGCAGAGGGTCTGCACGGGGCAGCACCTTCCTCCTACCCCAGACCATCCATGGACAGCAGCTCAAGTCTTGATTTTATTCTGGCAGACATGAGACAGGCCTCTGCCCTGGTCCAGGCAGACTGCCCAGTGAGCCCCAGTGGTCCCCAGCCCTGGGCATGCAGCCCCCGTACCTTCCCTGGCCTCTGACCCACCAGGCCCTGGAAAATCCAGCCATGGTGGGAGGGCGTTCATGCAGAGGACCTCACCCCACACCTAAGTCCTCCCTGGGAGCCTTCTAAGGCAGTGGGACAAAGAAAGGGCCCTTCCCAGCCTGCCCACAGCCGTCACCAGGAATGGCATCGGGCCCAGCTAGGGGACTAGAGGTAGGGGAGCTGGGGTGGGTCAGTGCAGCCTGCAGTGCGGAAGGCTCCTCACAGCTCCTTCTTGCATGAGCCTAGAGGCAGAAGAGGGGACCGTGTCAATAGTCAGACCTGCCTGTCCCCATGGTGGCCACACTGGCCCAAGATGGTTCCCAAGCTTCCATGGCAGGTGGCTGTGGCACTCACAAGACCCCAGCTGCTCCTCCAGGAAGGATATCTGCTCGCTCAGTGAGTCAATACGGTCCAGCTGCTGCAGTGAGTGGGCTAGGAGGCGGCCAGGGTCCTGGAGTCCCTGATCCACGGCCTGCGAGGCCAGGCTGTGCAGTGGGGCAAGCACCAGCTGCAGCTTCTGTGGAGATGCAGGAGGCTGACGACCCAGGGCCATCCCCTCCTGCGCTTGCATAAGACTTAAGGAGAACCAGTGAGGGCTGGGTAGGCTGGACAGGGCTGGGCAGTGCCGGCCCCCAGCTCTGGCAACAGGGCTCTTCTCGCCACTAGAGGGAGCTGCTGCTTGAAGGGTCGAGAAGCTGGGTGGGCCTGAAGGACATCAGACAGGCCAAGGCCTGGGCACTTGGTCCTAAGGTTTTAAGTTTCGGTAGAGGGACAAGAAGGGTCTCCGAGCCCATGGCTTTGTGGGAAGGCCAGCAAAAGCTTGACCTGCTATGGCAAGTGGAGGTGGGCTCTGGGTCTGGGCTCCCACTCCAAGCATGGCCTGGGGAGGGGTATCCAAGCTCAGCTCCTCCTGGCCAGGAGTCCCAGCCAATGTCCCACTGCCCCTGCCCAAAGAGCCCCTGGACTTCTGGAAGAAGGAAATGGGGGCCTTTGGGCTACCCCATGGAGCCTCACAACCATCCCTCAGGGAGAGCCATGTCCTGGGAGGCCAGGGGGGTCCGTGGCCCCCCCAGTCCTCACCTGCTCCAGCATGTCCACCCGGTACTGTAGCTGACGCACCTCCTCTCTCACCATGCTGTCCACTCCTGCAGGCAGATCCAGGTGTGGTCAAGAGGATGGTCCCCACCCCACCCCACCCAATCCTGAGGCTGGCCTCTGATCCTGAGGACCACCTGGCACGTCCAGCCCCCACCCTGCCCCTTGGTGCAGGGCCAGGCTTGCTGTGCTGACCCGGGGTCCGAGGTGCTCCTGGTGCGGGGCTGCAGACGGCGCATTATTACTCACGGTACGAGTTTGAAGTGTCACAGCGCGTACCAAAAGTAATAATGCCCCGTCACCAGCGGAGGCACGGTGATTCTCCAGGTTGCTGGTGCTTGCATCTCTTGGCTGAGGCGAGGCCTCAGGGAAACCTCCCCTCAGTGCCTTCTGGGAACCCTGGGGGCAGGGCCTCCTGCTCCTTCCACCCACAGAACTGCCCAGCAGCCCAGCCACCTGGGCTCAGTCCTCTCTGTGTGATGCTGACCCAGGCCAGGGCCGACTGCCCTCAGTGCACCTAGGGTGATGCCCACCCACCTGCCCACTGCCCCAGGCCAGGCCCAGCAGTAGGGTGGAGGGGTGAGCTCACCTGTTGTGGGACCTGGGGCCACCCTGGGGGGCCCTCCCTTGGGCAGGCAGAGTGTGCCATCTGCAGACGGGCCGTGCCCCTCCCAGCACTGGCACCAGTAGCTGCCTGCAGTGTTGACACAGCGCTGGGGACAGCCGGCTCCTCCAGTGCTGCACTCGTCCACATCTAGGAAACGGGGGTCAGCGGTGCCTGCAGAGGACCTCCCCAGCCCCTCATGGAGGCACAGCCAACCTTACCTGTCTGGCAGGTGTCACCCTGCCACCCTGCAGGGCAGTGGCAGTGGCCTGGATGGACACAGCTCCCTCCGTTCCCACACGGTGGCTGGCATATTGCTGTGGGTAGGGGAGGCCTGTCACCAGTGTAGGGTGACAGGGCCCTGCGTCAGCAGCCAGGGAAGGGGGCGCTCTGCAGCAAGGGGTGCCCTGCTGGTCACCGGTAGCAGGAATCCTGATGCCAGGTACCCCCTCCAGGCCCCCCCGGGGTGGCAGTACCTGGGGACGGCAGTGTCCTGGGACCTGCTGCCCTCCCTCACCTGCTCCGCAGGCCCCAGGGAGCCCACTGGTCCTCTTCCAGCCAGGGCAGCAGGCGAATTGCGGCCGGGCAGGGGCCGGCCCAGGGCTGCGGCGATAGGCGGTCCTGTAGATAGTGCTGTAGGGGTGGGGACTGCTCAGAGGGGCTGACAACTGGGTGGCCCAGGCCTGGCTTTACCCTGCCCACTTGGTCTGCCAGCTTCTGAGCACCAGAACAGGGTCACTCCCAGGTGTCCTCAGAGGTCCTCTCCCCAGGGATGTCAATTCAGAGTCACTGCATAGGGTTTCCCTAGGTGGCTGCTCCAGTGTTGAAGAAGCCCCAGCTGTGCCTGGCACAGAGCAGGGACAGTGCCAGGCCCGTGAGTGCCTCTTCATCCCGAGCCTGTGACGAGGGCATCTAGCCAGAGGGGCAGGCCTACCTGGTCCTGCAGCTGGTCACTGGCAGAACCAGCTTAACCTTGGCCTTCTTCATTTCCCTGGGGTCTGGCACCTGGGATTGTCATCTTCTACCTCTGGGGATCAGGAGCCCCTGGTTCTGGAGTCCTGGCCTTCTACCCCTAGTGGGGAGCTCACAAACTATCCTGTTCCTTCCCACCCTTTCCCAAGATTTCTGGATGGGGCAGGCTAAGCTCCCTAAACTCAGGAACAAGGACCCTGCCTGCAGCTGAGTCCTGAGCCGCAGGACCCCAAGGCTGGTGTGTTAATCTGACGGATGTAGAGGGGCCTGGGGGCCTCCATCCACGCCCTCAGGGACTGTCGTGGGGAGGATGACCACTGGAGCCCTGG